CAATTATAAATTTAAATTTAAATATTAAATTTTTATTAAACTCCCGTGGCAAAGCCACGGGTCAAACACTAGTAATACTATATATATACATATATATTATAATAAAGTAATAAGTACCTAATGTTGATTTGCGCTTTGCAAGTGAAAATCTGTAAGTGAAAGATTTAGTCTCACTGTAGCAAATTTAGCATAAGAATTATGTAATTTATCCTGTATGTACAATCACATCTCATTTTAACATTTTATAGTTAGAATTAAAGTTAAGTTTAGTGCAATTTATAAAAAATAATTGTCGGCGAAATGAGCTGTCGGTAAAATAACTGTCGGTGAAATGAACTTGTCCATGAATTAATTGTCGGTGAACTAGGCTGTCAGTGAAGTGATTGTCAGTGAAATAACACGTATCCCATTTTGATTAGGTACAATAGTTATATTGCATTACCGAAACTACAAGATCATTAAATATAATATCTTGCCATGTAAAAATTTACAGGATTCATTTTGCAGCACACATTTTATTGTACAAAATGAATATATGTTAGTATGGGGAATAAAATAGCCTAAATTCGTTTCTTTTATTAGATAAATTTTTAAATTTTATGCAGAGATTCAATAAAATTTATCACTGTATTATAAGCACCGATCAAAATTACCATGTTTAACTCCAATAATCATATCAACTCTTGTATAAGATCGGTTCAAAGTTTATTTACTATTTAAATAAGATCACTTTTTCGACTCAAAATAATAGTGAAACTAATAAAATTTTCAAATGCAATTTATAAAGTTTTGCGGAAAAATAAGATTATTATACAGTATCTATTTTATTGTATCTAATTTATTGTAAATTGACTTTGTGTGGGGATTTCTATTAGTGTAAGTTATATTACGCATAAGTCCATTAACGTTAATATTAATATAACTAACGGGTTTGATCAGAACGAAACTGACTTAGTTATAGTAAATTTATTATATGGCTCATGACCCATATACTAAATTTATTATAACTAGATGTTCAGATCAAATCCGTTAGGAGCACTAAATATAATATAGAATTTAGAATTTATATCAATTACCGTTACTGTATAAATTTACTAAATTACGATTGCTGTAAGCTTTACAGTACAACAGTACAACTCTACAGGGAATTTTTTACAAGGGATCCCCAAAATTCCGGGTCAGATGCGTCGGAACCCTGGTCAGATGGGTCAGAATCGGTCAATTTTATCCAAGATCACTAAAAATTTTAATAATGAAACCATAGTCGTTCATCAAGTAAAAAATGTCCAGCTGATAATTTTACTAGAGCTCCTGCTAACTAATATAGCTAATCCTAACCCTAACTCGGGTCCGTATTATTTCACCGACAATCACTTCATAGACACCACATTTCACCGAAAATTATTCTAGTGATTTTGGCCGATAGTGAAAAAAATCGGCTAAAGAAAATTATCGGCTTAGCCGGTCGATTTTTTTAAAATCGGCTGATCGATTTAGTATGGTCAAAAATATGCCATTACAAAAAATTTCCGATATGGAGTAAAGTTGAACCTGTAAATTCCGAAAAATTCCGGATTAAAGAACAAAATTAAATAGTACAGTAGGTTGAACAAGCCGACTAAGCCGATAAAATTTATCGGCTTGATCATAGCCGAAAAATTAAGCTCGGCCAGAATCACTATGTTAAATATTACGTTAAACTTTCAAAAACATTGCTTTGGTCTCAATGGTTTAATCGCAGTTCAAGACCTTTGGGATGGCGAAAATCCATTTAAAGGGAATTTTAATGAGAGGTTTCATCTCATGGTATAACAGTTGTAAAACTTCAAGTAGTGGATAATTCTTATAAAAAATATTAGCTAAACCTCAAAAGTTCTACCTCATGGTATAACATTTGTAAAGTTTCAAGTTGTGAAGATAGAAATATCTATAGTTAAATATAAAATATATAAACTGTTTTTATATTAATATTTTTCTACTCATATAGTTTATATCAGTTATTTCTCTTCTAATCATCGTTTAGAATCTATACGTAGAATCTGTGATACACAATTTAAAAATTCGTTCAGCAAGTAAAAATTTTCTTAGAATCAGCAGATTTTATTATTTTGATAGTTTAAGTTGATATTAATGAGGTTGAGGGTCAACTTTAATTAGGTAGTATCAAATGATCATTTAATAATTGATTTCCTGTTCGTATCAATTCGTATATGAGCATACATTTAAGTATTATTATTATTATTAATTAAACTACATATTTATGTATTATTTTTAACTTTCATTTACATTCATTTAGTCTGTGTCATTTATTATATTAAATATATTAAGACAAATATTAAATTTCTTTCATGAACAGTGCTAAAGGCGCAAGTTATGAGCTAGTAAAATATTAAATTTGCACTAATAATTACATACACAGCGAAGCAAGAGCATAGAAATAGTTTCTCACAAAGGACTTAAACTTTTTGATTATAAAAACAACTATATTTTTATAAGAAAAACCGATTATATGCTAATTAAAATTTTTTCTAGTAATCTTGTATTGTTATATCAATATTAAACACATTGAAAATAATAGTGTAAATGCTGATCCTAATGTCGACATTTTATTAATATCTCCTCCACTTGGTTTATCACTACTGCATTCGAAGTTAGGCAAACATTTTGAACCATTAGGACAGCATCCGCTTTCGCTATCTGTGCAGCAAAAATAATCATTATCACAACATCCATAACTACCTGAACATGAATTAGTTCCACTTGGACAGGTATCAGACTTTTTCATCAAAGATGTTAAAGATGTATATTTCTGGCCAATGGAAGAAACACGAATAATTTTCTCATCTCTTTTTAAATTAAGAGAAGAAGTGCGATTAATTTGGTCATCATCTCTTTTTAAATCAAGAGAAGCTGTGCGATTAATTCGGGAATTATTTCTTTTTAAATTAAGAGATGTTGAAGCAAAAATAAAGTTGCTAAAGAATATAATGGCGAGAATAAGTATCAAAAATTTACTTTTCATAATGATTTTGGACGTTTTGAATAATTGTGTGCAAACAATTTTTGTCAAATTGAATAGAATATGTATTTATAAGCAAATTTATCGGCTGAACATTTAAATGATTTCTTTAATTAATTATCTGTGACAAAGCGGAGAATTATAAATATTCATGTATTTAATATACACAAAAGATATTTGATAATTATAAAATTTTCTTTATTAAATAATAATTAAGATGAGTGACCAACGTGAGTTTTGACTAAACCTTTATAATTAATTCATTTTGAACGCTAATTTTTTTTTTAAACCAATTATGAACTGCAATACTTCTTCAATAAAGTCGATTAGAATTAGACTTTTGATGCTCTTTCCAGCTCGCTAAAACAATCTGAAGCCCAAAAATAGAGTGAATGTCAAAATTTAGAAAGATAGTCTTTAAGTGTAAAGTCTTTCTTAAACTTATTAATTTACTAAATTTATACCCAGATGTAAAGTCTGACGAATAATCTTTTTAGGACTTTTATTATAGATAAAATCATACCAATAATACAACTTTTTGTACGTACGTACGTATTGTACGTACGGATGAATTTTACCAAAATTTTCTATATATGGTAAAACTTATAACAAAGTTGTACGAATTTGGAAATACGTATAATAAAGATAAAGAGCATATTTCGTAATATAAAATGCAAAAAGAAGATCTCAATAAGCGAAAGGAATCTCTTTGTATAAAGACAATAGCATAAAACATTATATATGCAAATAGCATGCTATCGAGAATGACAAATTTAGTTTTCCTGCACCGTACGTATTGGGGTGATAAATCAAATAAGTAATCAAACTATGTCAGGGTCTATAGAATTCGGTATATTGCTGATTTTTCATGTTACACGATGATTAATTTTCATTGGTATTATATATTTAATTAATATGCAGGAAAGTTATATTAATAATATAATCGATATATTCTAAACGATTCAACTTATTACCAAGACATCAAATTATCTTGAAATTTTTACAAGTTGTTTATAAAATAACTGGGAATAATACTATGTTTCAAGATTCTTTATTAATATGTAAGTTTAGGTATTTATCTTATAGAATGTTTTAAATTTCGTTAATTGGCACGAAAAAATTATCTTAAAAATTTATTTTAATACCAAGTTCAAATTTTAATTAGAACTTTGCGAAAAAATCAAACATAGTTACTTTGAAGTAGTTCTGACGCAACGTCATTTAAAAGTTTGCAATTTTCTTTATAATTAAAATTATATAAAATCGTTCGATCTAGCTTACTGATAAAAATCTGATCTTAGTAAAATTACTAATATGCCTGACATAGTTTTGATTACTTATTTGATTTATCACCCCAGTACGTATGTACATACTTGAATCATAAAAGTTCATAATATAGGTTACAAGAAATAATTATCAGCTAAAATTTTTACAAAACTTCTTATATTAACATCGAGTGCATTAGACAAGTTGAAAATCTCTACATTATTTGTCATGTTATATTGATCAAATGATTTTGTATAGTCAGATAATCCAGTTAAATCTGTTTTAATAAGGTGGGTATCATTTTTCAATTTATGCTACTGAATTATCAATCGAAAGGTGTCGTTTCTCGATTTTCACAGATTGTGAAAAATGACGATATAAAGATAATTCAAGTCATCCTTTCGATGTTATACTTGAAAAGAGTTTTTTTCATTCATTATACTTGAATCGATCTTTTTGTTGCAAGGATATAATCTCATGACTCGTGAGACCTTTGATTGAATACAATAAAAGGAAATTTAATGGATGCAATTGTTATATCTAGTAACTTAAATTTACTTTTAATCGATGGCTAATTCTTCGTTCTTTATGACATAAGAACTACTTAAATCTAAACAAGAAATATAGGAACGCAAGTACGCCAAATTGGAATTTTTAGTGCAACACATTAAGTAATCAAATACAGAATCGAAAAACGTATTGTGATTAGAGATGGGAAAAATGCGCATTTTATAATAACATGTGCATGAATGCGCATTAATGCGCACGTAATATAAAATGCGCATTAATGCGCACGTAATATAAAATGCACATTAATGCGCACGTAATATAAAATGCGCATTAATGCGCACGTAATATAAAATGAGCATTAATGCGCACGTAATATAAAATGCGCACGTAATATAAAATGAGCATTAATGCGCACGTAATATAAAATGCGCATGATACCGCATGATATGATTTTTTTTGATTTTATATTTTACTTCCGGAAAATATCGGATATTTGCCAAAGTTTTTCCCGACCATTCACATATTTATTTTCATTCATTTTCTTTTCGGAAATTTTCAAAACTTCTCATTCCTATTTCTTAATTTTGCCTGGCATTATACACCTTAGCCTAAATAAAATATACTTTAATTTTCCTATATAAAATTTAGATGGGATAAAATGCGCATGAAACCCATCTCTAATTGTGATATTTAAAAAACGTAGTTATTAAAATTTACATTATATTCGTTTGATTATGCAAATTTAGGCATGTAATAATCTTTTGTTTTTTCAGCTTAAGTTTTTAGTTTTATTTTTTCGCTTTATAAATTTATTGTTTCTCTTTTAACTCATCTTTTTTTATTTAATTTTTTTTATATAATTTATATATATATATAGGGAATTGCTATTTCCACCATGGTAATTTGCTATTTCCACCATGATCTACACAAGATTTTCCATTTTTTATATTTTTAGCATTTATATAGTAAAAATTAGTTTTTTAAAAATTAAAGAAGTTTTTAATAAATAAATATTTCTTCTAGCTTTAAGTAAACTTGTAGAGAAGACTTTTCTGGTTCTAATGATGGTTAGATCATCAAAATCGGCTTAGTGGATCCCAAGATATTTGGGGTTAAAGGCGCGAACATAAAGATCTACAAATTCACTGTTACACAAAGTATTATAGTCTATAATACTTATATTCGCGCCTTTAACCCAAATATCTTGGGATCCACCAGGCCAATTTTAATGATCTAACCACCATTAGAACCAGAAATATCTTCTCTACAACTTTACTTAGAGCTGGAAGAAATATTTACTTATTAAAAACTTCTTTAATTTTTAAAAACTAACTTTAGCTTTAATTATTTTAATTTTAACCCAAAAGCTAATAAGTAAACCTTTCTTCAAGTTCTAAGTAAAGTTGTAGAAAAGATTTTCAGCTTCTAATGGTGGTTAGATCATTAAAATTGGCCTGGTGGATCCCAAGATATTTGGGTTAAAGGTGCGAATATAAGTATTATAGACTATAATACTTTGTGTAACAGTGAATTTGTAGATCTTTATGTTCACGCAAAACCGAACCGATACCTGAACTCAAACCCGAACCTGCTCGTTCGGGTCAATTTCGGTTTTACGATTTTTAGACTGAGCGATTTCGGGTCTTAGATTCAGGTACTCGATTAACTCACATAAACCCGCATATATTAATTACCTGACTTTTAATGAATAAAAATTCAGAAATTTAAGAAGTTCTTTGCACTCATATATATATATATATATACTTTTTTTTTTCTTTTTAAAACACATACTTATCTATCTTTCGTGCAAATTAACATTTTATACACGTTTTATACATACAAGCTTTCTCTAGATTTTGTTTTTTTTAAAAAACATAAATACTGTACACATTCTCCCTTTAGCATGGCAAGTGTTACAAATTTCATAGAAAATATCTATATAGATGACCCTTTCCTATTAGATGATAATATCGAAGCAGAAAGTTCTCATGAAAATTCCCATATTAATGAATCTGATAACCTGAAAACTAGTGACTCCTTACAAGCAGAGGCTGTTGTTGGCGATAGGTCTACTTTATATTCTAGATTATTATGATAACCGATAAATGAACCGGTTATCTGAAAAAAAATGGTGAGGTCAGCAATGTGCTTAAGGTTATGGTAGAGAGGATATCAAGATGAGCAAAATGAGCAAGATTAAATCGGGCTTGTAAGGTCAAATATTTTAATTTTTTTTTTTAATTTTTCGGGAGGGAGGTTTTTTTTCTTTTTTTTTTATTTTTCGGTTCTTTTTTTTTAATTCGTATATTTGCTTAATTTGGCTATTATTGCCAACAATTAATTCTTATTTATGAAGTTACATTTTTTCGGTTGCTGAATAATAACGGGTTTTTATTCTGATTTTAACTGCTTTTGTTATTTTTTTTTTTTGGCCTTGGAATATTCAATTAACTTTCAGCTACATTTTTTTTTTTTTTGACTTGCAAGTTTTTTTTTTCTTGTAATATAATCGTGATGGGTTAACAAAAACCCACAGACGGGATTCATTTGGTGTTTTATAAAGCATTATAGCAATATATTATCAAAGCCTGGCATTTATTGGCTTTAATCATATCTTTTTTTTATTTTTCGCTTTAGCATTTGAATATTTAGTATAAGTAATAAAGATTTATAAGACTTGAGCTTTATTATAATTTTTTATTTGGTGTATAAAATCGTCGTAGAATTTTGATACAATAATTGGGTCCCGGTTCAGGTTCGGTTTTTGACAATACAGTTCCGAGCCTGAGTACTGAATCGAACCAAATTTTTGATTCGAGCCCAGTTTTGCACAAAACCCAGACCGAACTGGATCGTGCAGAACACTAATCTAACCACTATTAGAACCAGAAAAGTCTTCTCTACAGGTTTACTTAAAGCTAGAAGAAATGTTTACTTATTAGTTTTAGGGTTTGGGTTAGGATTAAAGGTTAGGGTAGTGTTAGGGTTAAAGGTTAGGGTTAGTGTTAGGGTAATGAGTTTTTTATATTGTTATCTAAAAATAGAAAATCCTGTGTAACCATGGTGGAAATAGCAATTCCCTATATATATTATTTATTTAATTTTTTTATATTTAATTTTTTTATATAATTTTTTTTTATATAATTTTTTAATTGATCAGTAAATGGATACCAATTTTAAAACAAAATATATAACAAATGACATATATCAATTGATAATTGCATAAA